GGACTGCCAGCACAAAGTGGTCCTCCACAGTGTCAAACCAATATACTCTTTTTTTAACCTAGAGTGTCAAAACGACTCTGAGCATATAGTGTATTGCTGTGTCTGCAGCTCACGTAGGCAGAGGTTCACTCTGAAAGGGATTCCCCAAGCCTTGCCAATGCTGTAGCCATGGAAGCAGGAGATAAAAATATTTGCACAGAATCTGGGGGCAGGGTTTACAGCCTGTACTCTACCATTCAGTGCTCCAGGGGCGCTGCTAGGAGCTCTGCAGTGCACTACCATGAAGTGAAGCTAGCTTAGGTAGCTAACTGGCTAAAATTCTGTGAATTAAGGATAAAAATATCTATTATTTGCCCCATGTTTCTTGGAGATGTCATCTGGGTGGATGTCTCCTGGCAATCCCCTGGAGCTACCATTCAGCTACCTATAACTTTCGGTTCCCTTGGATGTTTCTTTCATTAGTACCTCCCCTTGGATATTTATTCAATTTGTCCCTCTATAGGCTGACTTTGATTTTTTTTTGATCTTTAGCATGGATTCAGTATATCAAAGCCTCTCTTGTCAGAAAACTTCTACTTTGTAGTCTGAATGGTGATTAAACCACAGAGGGCGTACCTGAAGTCACTTGTGATTCTGCTCTGTTTGATGGCCATCGATGACACAGTCCTTGCCTGGTGTCCCTCCTGCACCACTCGTGACTGGTGACCAGTTTCACTTGACACTGGATCTAGAGCAGCCTCAGAGCCAGTATGGCCACATCGGCCCTGGGTGAGGGCACAGGGTTAGTCACTCCCAGCAAACAATGGATAATTGTGTAGATGTTTTCCTTTCCTCTAGGAAATGGCTCTGTATTGTCTATGCTGAATTGCCGTCTCACTGCTCTGTTTTCTACAGCTTCTTATTTTTTACAAAAAAGCTACTCATTCCTCCCAAACTGATTGCATGGCCCAGCCTCAGCTCAGGATGCTTAAATGCATATAAATGATGTTATGAGGAGATTAAGGAACATACCTTGTTGCATGGTGAAAAGCAGTAGTAAAGGACAAAACCCCAGATCCGAGTAACACAACTCTGAGATCTCTTTGTTCCAACTGATGGCTTGGAGTGACCTGTTGGGGACGGATATCATTGTTACTCACAGTCCTGGGAAAACAAAGGAGCAACACAACAGTGGGACCGGTGGGATGTTTCCGAAGACCGGTCTTTCTCAAGTACCACATGTTCTAGGGGAACCTAAGGGTGGCATGGACAACTCCTTCACAGCACCTGGTGTTGGTGTACTCTTTTTCCCCTCGTGCGGTTCCAGCCAAAGTTACTCCATGTGCAGGCTGAAGGTAGCTAGGGGAGACTGGTTGCTCTTTCTCCTTTGAGATCACGTCCTATGCTTGCTCGAGTCCCACCCTTTTCCCAGTGTTTGGTCAAGGGTTGAGCGACAAGCAAGCAGAAGCCGAGCCAAGGGTCAATGACTTGGTTGTGGCATAGTTATCTTCAGTGCTTTCTACATCATTTTGCCCATCTATAGATGGAATACTAAGGCTTGTCTGATGCCTAGGCAGTGTGACAACATGGGGAAAGTTTGTAAAGTGTATGGGGAACTTTGGCTGCAGATACTTATGGACAACTAAAGACGATTGCTTTTGATGGTATTCTTTCCCTTGTTGTGCAGGATATTAGAGTGCTCTGCAGAAAATGGTACTCCAGTGTAGCCAACTTGACACCACTGGCTGTACGCAGGAGCTGAACAAACCCTAAAATTATTTAATGATTAACAGAAACCTTTTATTTATTTTCCAGTGTATGTTATTTTGTATTTGTGAGCAATTCGTGTCCCTGTTGCTCTTAAGTGTGGGGAAAACAGTTCTACTTGAATATTTGTTTAAATGTTGCGTGACAGTATTAGTTCTTTATGTTTAATAATATTTTATGTTTAATTTTCAATCTGAAAGCATAAAAAATTTCAAAGTGCTTATTGGCACATGTATATATGATATAATACAACACACAAAGTATTCAATGTCCAGACTCAGCAGTGTGATGGAACCACCAATGGAGTAAAAAAACCATCTGAATAACAGCAAATTGCAGTACCGAGTAGCAGTTTAGCTCTGTAAATAAGTAAACTTGCTATATTTTTTATGGGACATGGTCCTGCTTTTTCACAAAGTACATGTGATCTTTAATGACTCTGTCTTCATTTTTGGATTGTTTGTGAGGGGACCATGTCTTTGAACCATAACAGGTCTGAGGGCGAAAGTGAAGTGTCTCCAGTCACTGACATCTCATCTTTGCTTTTGTACACAACCTTCTATGGTTAAATAGAGTGTCTGTAGGTCTGCTTCTGGTTTGTGGGTTTTTTTTGTTTGTTTTAATCTGGTGTTTTATCATGTCCTGTGGGCTCTGAGTGGTCATCTGAAACCAGTTCAGCAGAAAACAACCCCTAAGCAAGTGAAGTTGTATCTATTATTATTGTCACTTGAAATATTTTGGATGTCTTGCCAGTTAAAAAAACTTGAGGGTACCTGCTCTAGCACCTAGCAACTGAGACGAGCAAAGAAAGATGTGAGCAGATGGGAAGGGACAGGAGAGTTAGACAATACTGGCTGTGGTCAAGGAAAAAACGCTGAAATCAGCAGGTCGTAGAATCATGGAATTGTAGAATTGTTTCGGTTGGAAAGGACTGTTAAGATCAAGTCCAACCATTAACCTCATACTGCCAAGCCCACCACTAAACCGTGTCCCTAAGCACCATGTCTACACACCTTTTAAATGCCTCCAGGGATCGTGACTCTACACTTCTCTGGGCAGCCTGTTCCAATGCCTGACAACCCTTTCTGGGAAGAAATTCTTCATGCCCAGCTCTGGGTATGAGTGACCTCTAACATTTCCCTTTGAAACAGAGAAAGGAGATAGCGGAGGTGATTGGATACAGAGGAAGGGAAAACTCAGAATTTTAAAACTTCGCTTTTTATTGCACATCTTAAAAAAAAATTACAGTGTAATTCTTATTGCAAATTGTTAAAAATTATGCCTTGCTGTTATACTAGGCAGGATTGGTGCCCTGTGGAGCAGGGCTGCCATCTCGTGTTAAATGCCTGCAGAACTGGGGGCTTGTAGGCAGGAGGAAAGGGGTGGAGGTGGTGGAGGAACGGTATGTTCCCCTGGGAAACGATTGTGAAGGCTTCCAGTAAGATTCTGGGCTTGCTAGTGCTTGACGCATGTTCAGCAGATCCAAATGTCTCTGCTCGCTTCAGGCTTTTACTGTGGAGTGAGCAAAGGCCTTCCAGGGAATGTTCTGCAGCTTAGTGGCGAAGTCAGGCTAGAACTGGACTTCAGAGACTGACTGATGAAATAGGTCACACTGGTAGATGTGCACAAATAGTTGTTATTATTTCAAACGTGCTGTATAGCAGGAGAGATGTAACCTTATATATCATTTATTTATTCCATTCCGGTTTATCACTCATTAATGGTACAGTTAGGTAATGACTGGGCAATTCAGGAAGAAGTTTGCCACGTAGGAAATCATGACCCTTATTAAATTCCCTTAGATACAAAATGCCTGTGACTGGGCAAGGTCTGGGACACCATCAAAGATATTTTGATTGTTCAGTTTGGCTTTATGCCATCCCTGAAGCGATCTTATCAACCTTCTCTAAAATCTCTGTGGCTGTAATCTTAACAGCAGTTAGGTTCCTAAATATATTTGGGGACCTGGTCCTTGTTCTCCTTATCTATAAAATAACGATATTTTCTGTGTTTCCCAGGAAAGAAGATCAGCATATTAAGGACAGTGAGAATTTAGGTACTCCAGTAGGGAGGGCCATGCAGGCACTTCAGATGTGATATCCGTGACCTGTGCGTTCGTATCAACATCAGCATATACATGGAATTCACTCATGGCTACTTATCATTTGATATTTGGTGTCCTTCTGCTTTAATGTTTTCAGTTGCTGAACCTGGGGTAGAGACAATACTGATGTAAAAGTCAACAGTCACCTTCTCATGAGTACCTAGTCTGAGAAAACATTTTATGGATGGTCCACACGTGTGTTCATCCAAACAGTTTGATAAGTATTTCTGGATGATTCAACATATTTGTATCAATCAGGAAAGACTCACAAACTTTATTTATCCGAGAAATGGCTTAAATGTTTTAAATGATCTTATTTTATTTGGTCTGCTTTGGACGGCAACATTAGGAATAATTATAAATGATACAATATAAATGCAACTAAACTACAATTGACCCTTATTTCAGGGGTAGTGTTCTTGCTTCTCCCCTTGTTTGATCTGTTAGCATATACATCATATTTTTTAATTCAAATATAAGACTTTATGACTACTATTTCAGAATTGCTATACATCCTCTTCAGAAACAGACTGTCTTCATTCTGTATATCCTGTAGGGCGTTTACTGCATATACTGCACATACTGCCAATGTATGTTGCCTTGTGTTAACAATGCAGATTGTGTTCCTACACAGCTCCTTTTTTTTTTTTTTCTTAAATTTACTATAAATGGTTCACATTTTCCAGAAATTTGGTGTTATTATTGCATATTAAGACCTTCTCACATGTCTTTGTTTTTCCTGTTGTGAAAACCTCTCTGCCATCCCCAGGAACTTTAGACTGGAGGCAAGCAGAAGGAGCCAGCATCTGCAATCTCCCTGCAGGTCAATAGCCTGCGAAGTGGCTCAGCATCTTGATCCTGCTGACTGCTTATTTGTGCAGTGTAGTACTAGTGATGTGTATCATCTAACTTACTAATATTACATACTAGTGTATGTAATAAATGGACATGGAGAATGCCAATGGCCAATTATCTCAAGGAGGTGTCAAAAGGAGCCATCAAAATATGCTGGATCTGAAAACATTTGGAAATTTAGTCTCTTTTTTTCCCCTTTCCCATTAGACTAAGGAAGTTAATCTGGTGTTCCCAACCTTGCCCAGAAGAATTAGTCTCTGCACATAACTCTTTTGCCATTCAGTAAAAACAGACACTAGTGTCCTGGGAGGGCTGGCTGGGCATCCTTGCCCTCGGCAGATGCCTGCATTTTTTCCTCCGGCACTGGATCCAGGTCTGGCACTTTCTGCCCTGCTTTGGCAACTGTGAATCTGCTCATGTGCAGAGCTTCTTCGTAGACTGGCGGGGTGTCTGATGCTGAGAGGGATGGTGGTCCCTGTGCAGAGTTATGGGAGTGTGCCACCGCTAATATCCTCCTGGCAGCAGGTCCAAACACAGAATGGAGAGCTGAAAGGGAGCAGAAAAAAAGCTGTTTGCCTCATCCTGAAAGCACCATGTGATCAGAGGAGGACAAGTATATCTGCAGCACACAGGCTTTTCTCTCTCCTCAGCCTGGATGGTTTCCTTTTCCTGCCCCTTCACCCTTCCCTAAAAGGTATGTGTGTGAAACCCCATCAGCAAACCCAACATCCCAAAATTACTTTTTCCTCAAACGCCACTGAGGCCTGTAACTGCCCTAATTCCACCCAAACATGTCTCACAGCTGATTCACCATCTGGCTGCATTTGCTACATGAAGCCTGGTGAGCATCTTAATTTGTACTATGCACAGATGCTGCTTTCGCCGCATCCTGCCATGAACTTCCCTCTGTCAGCCTTGGGGTGCTGCAATCTGGGCTTTTTTACAGTGTGGCCCCTCACTTCAGGGTGTGCTGAGGTTCCCAGCTTCTGTCAAAGCCAACTCACAGGTAATGGTGCTCTGAAGGGTGCTGTCATGATCAAAAGCAATGACGGTGACCTCATAGGGCTGAGGACCTGATTCCTCCCCTGTCTGACGGCAATGAAAACAGCATCTCACGCAGATGGAAACCAGGCCACACAGGAGCATCAGCCCACCGATCACCATCACCAGCCTGGAAAGGGAGAGGATACAGAATTAGGACAGAAAGATTTTGTTTGCAGGAGATCTCTTAATCTCTCTCCCTGCTTAAAACAAGGCTAACCTCAAAGCAAGACAAAGTCATCTGGGGCTTTGTCCAGCAGACTTTGGACAGTCTGCAGGAATGGAGAACCCATGTCCCCTCCAGGCACCTGTTCCAGTGCTGCACCATCCTTGGGGGAAGCATTTTTTCCTTCTGTCTAATCAGAATTTCCCTGCAGAATCAGAATATAACTTGGCCAGTTGCCTCAGGTCCTTCTGCTGGGCATCTCTGAGAAGGCTCTGGATCTATCTTCTCTCAAGATCCACATTAGACAGTGGAAAACTGCGATTAGGTTGTTGCCCCCTTAGCCTCCTCCAGGCTGAACAAACCTGGTCCTTTCAGACACTCCTCATACATGATGTCCTCTGAACCCCTGACCAATTTATTGGCTCTCCAGTGGACTTGTTCCAGTTTATCAACATCTCTTTTGTACTGGGGGACCAAAACTGGACTAGATATTCCAGATGTGTGCTCATGAGTGACAAGCAGAGAGGAAAAACTGTGTCTCTCAGTCTGCAGACTATACTCTTATTAATGCAGCCTTGTAGATGTCCAATAACTACCATCCTTTTTAATCTCATCCTGATGAGTACTACTAAGGAATCAGACTTAAATTACTTTAAAAATGGCCTTTTAAAAGGCAAATTGAGCTGTGAATGCTTTATTAATATTGTTCATCTGACTCAATTAACATGTGGAATAAAAAAGGAGGCTGGCAAGTCAACATTTGTTAAAGATGATGCCATAGCTAAGGGGTTGCCTTGCTACTGTAACGCATTAGAGCATCCCAAGGGAAAGCAGGAGGTGGCATCACACTTGAGCAGGTCACATTTAATCCCACTTTTTGGTACTGGAAATGTCCAGAGATGCAGATATTTAGAGTAAATGTATGCCATCTTACCAGATATACCACAAACGGTCCCACTCTGTACCTGAACAGCTGAGGAGAAGAGGGTACAAGAAATAGTTAGCCACAGAATACCAAATAAATCAGAAGATCCCTACTGTATCCTCTTCTAGCCCCCATCATGCTCCTCACTTACTGTCCAGCATCTAAACGGCACAATGATGAGAAACTCACTGTGCTTCGTGGAGGATACAGTTGTCAAACCTCATCAATCTCCCTGTTAGGTGAGTATCCCTTCTGTTTGGCTTTATCTCTTTATAGTTCTCCTGATATTTGTGCCTGTCCAATTCTGTTTGCAAACCTTAGGGATCTGCATTCACTTTTTTGTCTTTTTTGTTGGAATATCGTTTCTGTTATTCTTACAAATGACATCACCAAGAGTAATATTCACCAAAGCTGTATATTTCAAACCGATTTTTCAAGGAAAGGTCAATTCCTAATTCATAATCTCAGTCAATCAAAATTACACCAGAAAACTCTTAACTATTGCACTTATGCAAATAGGTAGCAGGAACAGTACCACATGATCAGTATGTTGATCAATCAAAATAGTAATTAATACACTTCACATTCAGAGCAATGGAAAATTTATGTGAGTTTTCAGTAGTTGCAATTAAAGAAGCTTTTCTGGAATATGTCAGCCACCATATAACACTTATGTCTCCTACTGCCTTTGTCCTTCATTGTCTTCTTAAAAGAGTGCAAGACTGACAAATACTCACAGTTCGGTGTTGAGACAGCCTTCCTCACCTCTCACTTGGGGGAACTAGAAGGAGAAAACCAAACAAGACACAGCTAGAGTGAGTTAAGTCTTTGTCATATGCAACATTTATCTCTGTTACCTGGATTACTACCAATATAAATCTCCTATGGTAAGGATTTACTGTTATCTGTCTTCCATTGTTTCTATTGGATATTCTACTGTAGATTTGAACTTACTGTGATACAAGCTGCATTGTTTCATATCTTAACTTCCCATAGTCATTAAAATCCTACTTAGCACTGTTCCCCACACAGACTCCAACTTATCTTGACCTTTATCACAAGTTTCACTTTCCCCACCACAAGCTGTGTCATGCTACAGATGTAGGTCCTTCTCCATGCTCAAATGTTAAGAACCTTTAAATGTCCTGCCTCATATTGTACTCACACCGACTTGAATTCCTCCAGCACTCACATTCCTCCAGGCTTCTCATTCCTTTTCCTTGCACACCCTGACCTCTGTGTTACCCTCCCTGGAACAGCAGCAGATATTCTTCTCTTCTGCCTGTCTGTCTTTTATATGTCCATTTTTTTCTAATATCAGGCAAATTATTGTGACTCTCAATTGCTAATGCCCCTCCATCTTTCCAAGGTAACTTCGTAACTAAGCAGTGAACCCATAAAAAGGGGCCTGAGATGTGACTTACCCATAAGAGACATCCTAAAACACAGCAGATCATGATTGGGTTAGGCATCCCCATAGGGTGGTTCTGTGGCCTCTTGGTGTCTCAAACTGCTAGATGTCTTCTTGTCCTTTCTAGTTTCAGTTCATCCTCACCACCCCATTGACCAGGAGAAGGGGCAGATTCCTTGTCATGTGTTGAATCCAGTATCTTCTTCCTGCTCTACCTCTTTCTGTCCTCCTCTGGGTCTATCCTTCTTCTCTGCCCTCCAGGTTTTTGCTTTCTCTGTTTCGCTCTTTGTCACTGGCAATTTGTTTGTTTCTGCCTGTCTCCTTTTGTTATTCTTTTGACCTGCTGCTTTCCCTCTTTTGAAGGGATCTCTAAAACCTTCCAGTCAGGTCAGGAGAAAAGCAGTGGCTACAAGTTCTTGCTTTAGATGTTGAACTAGTTCAGTGAAGGGCATCATGAGATCTCTGCAGAGCTGACCCTTCCCTTCTGTGAGTTTGTTCACTCCCAATTATTCCTTTCCCCGCCCCTACCCTACGGGGGGTTGCTTGAAGGTCATGTTATTGACCTGTTTAAACAGAGTTCAGATTCCTCTCCCTCCTCCAGTACCTTTTCTGTCCCTGCACTCACATTGTCCTCCCTCTGTGGATCCAATCTATTGACTTTAGCCATATGATCAACATCCAGAGTGTATGTTACAAATGA